CCCCCCACCCCCGTCGGGGACCTAGGAACTTCCGTCGGGCAAATCCTGGCGCCACCCCTGTCCACATATAAGCCTAAATACGGTAATGTTATAAATTATATAACTTGCTTAGTCCTATAATGTACAGTACTTAATTCATGCTTTATTTGTATGTGCTATAGGAGTATCAAAAGAAGTTAGTCCAAGTAGCATTGCTTCACAGTATCGATATGGTTTCAATGAGTGTATCAGCAAGGTATCCCAATTCTTCAGTGAAATTGATGATTCTCATCTTGGGATGCGCTCTCGATTGATGAATCATCTTGTAACAACTTTTAACAGCGCTACAGGTCCACCAGCTAAACGTCAACAGCAATCCAGGGCAGCACCATATCAACAACCAGTCCAAATTCACTTACAACCTTGTGAAACGCATCTTACTACGCGTGAATCGCGATATTCTCATCGGCAGTTATTGCAATCAAGTCAAGGCTCTCATCCAGGAACAATTATTGGCGTGATTTCACAAGTGATCGAACCTCAACCAATAAGCGCAACACATCACGTCACTGCAATGACCAGTGTAGCTAGGATTGTTTCGGGAATCCCTATTGGTTTCACAAGTCCAATAACACCAGGGGAAGTTTCACTGGTGCTACCTCAACATTCAATCTCTTCCGCAGGTCTTCAGACTCATTTAATACCGGTACCAGTTTACGCCGGAGGAATGTCTGGTCTTTCTTCAAATTTTACCTCTATGCGTGTTGCGTCATCGGTTATTCCAGTAAGCGAACCGAGAATCCAGTCTGAAGCAGCTTCTGAATCTGAATCAGATTCGATAATGATGCCAACGAGAGTTATATCAGATTTCAGTCATGTTCTTCATGAATCGTCTTCTAGAGGAAATTCTTCTGATGTGCAATCAGATGATAACCATTCCGTTCACGAAGCTGCAGAAATGCAGCAGATAGAAAATGAAAATGTCGGCGTCGATCCTATGTGGAGACCCTGGTGAGGTTAAGAAAGAACCTAGTTTACCTAGTTTATATGGCATGGTTAACTATAAGATATGGTACGCCTCCTTGTAAAATATTAGTAAATGTTTTAAAAGCAACCGATCCGAATACCGTACTGTAGTATATACAATTAAATTCCTGTTTAGGGCCAATAGTATTATTAATCTATGTAATTGTTTTTGCAGTGTGGATAATGACAATTAACCACCAGGATTGGTTCAAATTTACGTTACGTTGAATAATGGCATAATACTGTACTATAATTAATAATAAATCAGACGTTTTTACCGCGCCAATTCAGAAATTATCAAAGGCGCAAGATTCTTCTTAAATAAAACTAAATTTGCAGACTGTTTAACAGAAATGGGTAACTGGTTCCAGGGAAGGGTGCCTGAACAGAAAATGAACGTTGACCATACTTACAGAAGGTGTTTTGTCAGTAGAACGGAATGCACGTGACTGAACATAGGGCGTTAGAAACTCGATACAGTATTCTACGTTCACATGAATTTGAAAAATGAAGCCGTATGGATATCAGTTGAAAATTGTTCCACTTTTCGTTTTAATGTTCCACGCAAAATGTTTAGATGAGTCTGTTACACAACACTTATAATTAAAAACATATTTTTTGTCAAGACTATGACTTTTCCAACAGGCGAAGTATCCGACTTCTCATCTTGTTACTACTAGACCTACTCAGTGGCGTATATCTAGAAGTCTTGAATTGGAGGTGGCTGATGGTGAAGTGGGGGAGGGGGCTCGATGATCAGTTGAGGGGCGCAAATTCGCAAAATATGGTG